AATACACAAAAGTCAAAGGAGCTTTTGTATTTCTGCGCCTGCTTGCATCTTCACATACCTCATACATGTGAATATGCTGGCATAAGGCTTGCACAATTAAAAGGCAATTAAGAAAAGGCAACATTGCGAGTTTAAACTAAGGCATTCCAAATCCTACATGAATGAATAACAAATGCATATACAGCTAAAAAGTCTAAATGCATCACACAATTTATATGAAGTCGCTGAATTGAAAACAAAAGATAATAACAGTAAGAAAGTTCTCTATAGCATCACACATTTTTATTTAGTCGAAGCAATCCAAATTTCTACAAGAAAGTGACTGCTGCCTATGAAATTGTACAATTTATCAAGATGCAACATACAAAATCAAAACCATGCATTCTACATGTACTACAATCCTAATAATATTTTTCATATTCACAATTTTGATATATACAAAGCTCTGCCAGTCTGCCTGCATATTTCAGAAAAGTCCTTGAAAACAATACATAATCTTCTTATATCTTAGAGACATCATGTCCAAGAAAGGAAAAAAACAAACATGAAATTTGATAAATATATTGAGCACGACGTTGGCGTGTCGAGCACACTATCAATGGCATGATTGGCATTGGCATTTCATCTCCTGTTACTCTACAGAAAACTCATCTAATTATATATAAGAAACATTAACAATACCATGTCAATGGCATGGTCATTTGTGATTGAGTAATTGTGCAATTACGGTACATGTACAATGTAAATATCTCACTGTAAGTCTTCACTATTTCAAATAGGTACAGTTAAATTTACATTCTGCAGTTAGCTATAAGCATGTGCATACAGGCATATAAATTGTTGGAAAAATGACCCAGGTTAGAAATAATTTGACACTGCTCCAGGTCAGTCGAAGAGACAAAGAACAATTATCACTTTAGAATAAATAAATAGAATCTAAAATTGTTATCATTTCATGAATATAAAGAACATGTTACACATACACATGTACAGATAGATTGTGATGTTGCACAAATCGAAATGTGAATAAGGACATTTTCCAAAATACTATCCCCAAACATAACTGAACATTAAACAACACACACACAAACAAGCAAACTTACTTGTAATGTATAGTAATGCAACTGTAGGATAGAGGATCTGGAAATGTGAAAATCTCTCATCTCTCTTGCATACTGTTGAACAGTCCATCCATCAAAAAAATATTAATGTTAATCAATATTTGAACAGATAAAGTACCTTATAGAGTCAGTGCACAGGTACATGTATGAAGGCATGCTGGCCTTCCTGCGAGGAATTCTATTTCTACAATCTAGTAATCAATTTCCTTTAAGAACGTAACCATGTTAAACTAAAATAAAAGGGTATACATTTGTACCAATATGTTGATGGTATTCCAATAAAAGCAACGTAAGAGAAAGGGAAAAAAAAGAACAAAGTACAATTTAAGCAGGCTATCTCCACCACTGCCAGCCTCCTGGCAAATGATATGCAAATGACAGGAAGCGTTGTATCGCGAGAAAGCCTTACGGCTTTATTTATGGAAATGAGGCTAGTGCAGGATTACTCCGAGGGATACCGCATGAACAAAAAAACAAGTCAAATCCTCTTGTTTATTCCATCGCTTGAAATGTAATATTCATCTCTTGATTCTCTTCTTTCCGGAATAGAGCGTTTCTAAAAATAACATGAATTCTCTTTCTAAGTTTCTATCGATCTCTTTTATCTGAATTGGTGCCTTGAAGCACAGGTGCTGCTAAATATATTTGCAATATAAAAACCCAATTTCTTTTTACTCTTAAATGTCTTAATTATCCTTGCTTTAATTTCTAAGACGAACCGAGATGGGGGATGGTGGTTAATGTATTTTATTTATTTAATCTGGTATTTTTTCCTCCCCCCCCCCTAATTTTTGTATTTTGCCTCAGAAGTCTTGCAACACACTATAAAATAAGGTGATTATTTTAATAGATCAAATTGAGTTCTCTAATCATTTGGTAACTATTTTTTCATCAATCTCATGATATTAGGTTATTTTCTTTACAATACATAATACTATGGAGATGTAATTTCCAACAAGAACAACCATACACTGTATGTCACTATATGTACCTGTATAACACTATCAGAGTGAAAGGCATACACATGTACAGAAATTTGCATTTCAATGGGCAAAGTCCCTGACTCTATTGCCTTCACAGTTCATAGACATGTAATATTCACTGCTTTCACACTATGCTGACATTTTAGACTTCTTTTCTTTTCTTCAAAAACTGCACATCACCAGGAAATAACAAATGTGTGACATTTCCTTGACTTCATGTACATGTACTGCAGTAACATCAGTTTTCTTGTTTTAAAGGCAGTTGATGGTTATATTATCCACACATTAAAGGCAATCTTGGGTGATAATGAAAATTCTATTATAAATTGTTTATCATTTGATGAATCACATGTGGAAGCTTAGACCAATAAAATGTACATAAAGTTACAAAATAAAAATAACACGATTACTACATGTACACTGGAAAAGCATCAATAAGAATATGCATTTTATCCAAGGTACAGGTTGGCCTATATTTATGTTATCTGCAGGTTTTGTTTTGGTCCCCTAGCTAATTGTCCTCAGTATCCTGTGCTAAATTGTATTACAAACAAAATGCTATGTGTTTATCATAAATTTTAAAAAGGAAAAAGATACATCTGATCTGGCATGTAACAAAAATGTTCAAGTAAAGGATGTTTTTTACTGTACAAACTTGATAAGTGTGCACTGTCTGTCGTAATAAAACGTAATCTAGAGTTCTGGTTTTAAGTCATAATCTGCTGAAATGAATAACTCGACATTCATGTTCTTTTTTTCTTCTTCAGAATCACTATTAAAGCTCATCTGAACTGCAAGGAATCTATTTATTTGATTTATAACACAACATCAAACATCATTTAGCTAAGGAACTCATGACATGCAAGCATATCAAGCAGTATTTTCTATTAATTCTACAATTTATTCAAGGTACATGTATCAACTTCAAATATGACTTTTTAGATTTAGACACACTTTATAACAAAACCACAACGAAAAAGTATTTTAACCACAAGTACATGGTTTTCCTCTCTGAAATTTTAAGTGTAATTCCAGCCTAAAAATAAATTGATTATATCGCACAAATTGGCAGCTTGGTCATGAGTGGGAACAATGTTTTGTTTGCCATTATTTTGTTTATTCCTCAACGTCATAAGTTACCAGTACATTTCATCATGTTTAAGACATTACATAATGACTGGTGTGTTCCGAGTGTTAAACATCACATTTGTATGACCAAGTTGCCAGAAGATCATATTAATGAAAAAGCAATTTCATTGCAACGTTTGATTCACCACAAGCATATTTTGTATCAGTTTCTCTAATTCTGCCGAGAAACATTGCCTTGTTTTACTTGACCTTTAAAAACAACTTGTTCTATTTTTAGTGCTAAATTGGCTGCATAAGTTTATTCAAGTTACATGGACACATCCTGGTCACATTACACACTCTATTTTCTTGCCAATATGCAAGGTGCATGCACTGATGTACATTGTATATGTGTACAATGTATTGATCCAAGTCTGATCAAGTTTCTAATTTCCTTGGGTAAGCGCTTCAAGCAATGTTAATTATGTCAGGTAATCGTCTTTGTTTTCTCACATTGCAAACTCTTATTCTAGCAAATGTATTATATGATTTCCAGTTTTTCCACCATAACAATGAAATGCTAATATCCCACATTAACATGTATGTGTAATTACAACTATAAACTTAATCTTATCTATATTTAATTGCACAATTACTCAAACACATTCATATAAATGACAAACACTGCACAGTCATTTCATGACAGCTTTTAACACATATAAGATTACTGTATATACCTCCATGATTGCATGAATTTAAGAACTTACTCACAGATCCTGCAAGTGTGAATATACAAGATGTACATATTATACAAGCCTTGAGAGGTTCTGGTTAAAACTATGTGCAAGAGGTGACTCCAATAGTACTATTTGCTGAGGGGCGCAGCCCCAAAGCAAATGGTACTTTTGTAGTCACCGAGGCCCATAGTTTAACCAGTACCTCGAATAGAAGGCATGGTATATTTGTTTTATATCCTGCATCAAAAATTATTTTTTAAAAATATATTTAAAAAAAAAAAATTGGAAAAAAAATTTAGAACAAAAAAAAAAGTCAATTTTTATCTAAAAAGATTTAAAATATTTTGTTTTCATTGAATTATGATTTGAAAAAAAAATGATTCAGTTAAAAAAAAAAAAATTCACATTTTTTTTCCAACTCTCAAATAGGAAACCAATCTCATATAGTACTTTCTAAAAAATAGGTCAAATATTTCTGGTCATGTGACGAGCTCTAAACCAATCAAAAGCCAACAAATTTTTGATGCAGGATATAAAACAGGATAAGAAATCAAATGATGCTACCGGAAATAGTTTGCCTACAACTGGTACCAACTGGTATCTAAATTTGATAACAAATAGAATAGATAGATACATGTACACGAGTACATGGATACATCTTTATCATTTTTTCTTATTCACTAGATTTCAGCACTACAAGAGGAGTACCGGTCCGGTTTATGAATTTAAATGATAAACATAAACTTTAAATCCATTTACTGGGTATCTATTGCTAATTACATGTATGCCGAAAAAACCCAGAAATGTACTTTCTTTGGTTTAGCAATCTACATAAGTATGTATTGGTTTGTATTGTTTACACACTGTACTGTACATGGCATGTTCATCAAAAGTTTGAGCAATTACAGCATTTATTGTTGTGTCTGATTTGCAATATACAGGCTCAATTCTCAAATCAATGAAACATAGAAGAGGATAGAGTCCGATGGACAGATAAATGCCGCCATCAGACCTGTATAATAGATAATAGTACAGATAGTAAAACAAGTCTAGGCATGCCCTCTCCTACTGTTTGTCTCTTTATTTTAAGATTGGGGGTGGGGGGCGTATCCCCTGTGTGTCAAAACACTGAACAAATAAGTAAGACTGTCCCTTTCCTAGTTTAATTTGATGAAACAAATGGATAAAATAACACAAACTACCATGTTTGAAAATGACCTGTCCATTTAACCTAACCATCTGGACATACATGTACAGTACAAAGTGTGTGTATACTCACAATTTGCTAAGTTTTGCTCATTACAAAATAACAAAACTAATAATTGGTCAATAGCCTTTCCAAACTGACTCGGACATAATAAGACATGTCCAAAATATTTGGCAAATCTAGTGCAAGTGCTGCAGAAATTTCATAATCATCATGATTGAGAACTGACAAAGCAGTGCACCCCTCATGGCACTTAGTTCATTAGAATTAATTACTGATCATTAAAATATGTGAAAACTGAAAACGTCACATTAGAATCAATGTTTTTGCACCAACAGGTAGATTTAATGAAACTGACTACTGAATGAGCTTTACAAAAAAGTAAAACAAACAAATGGTTAGGTCATTGACAATGTAAAGTAAAAAGTATAATATGTGAATACATTTAAGTTCAAAACAAGGTATTCTCATCAAATAAACTTAAGATTTCATTCTGTTACTGGATACTATCAAAAAGACGATAGTAGATGTACGTACATGTACAACATGTTCATTACCTGGGGCCAGAAGGGTAATAAAATAGCAGTTAACACCAGTCTGGCCGTACACAGATTATGTATTCTAATAATTATTTGCATGATTATTTCACATAATATACAATGCAATAGATCACTTCACCTAGAGATACATGTATTTGTGACGATGCTTTGCTTGGCCTCTGGCAATTGCGGCATATCTACCTCAACCCTCCTGATGCGTACACGTTGCTTGTAGTGATACTCTGTCAGGAATTCTTTCAGACCGTTTGGCAGCTTCAGGTAGCTGATGGCATCATAGGAGACATGCTGGCAGATGCTAGCCCTACTGAGCTCCATCAAAGATGAGGGATTGGCCCTAGGAAGTGGGCTGGTCAACATTGGCTCAAAGAACATGCAGTAGTTGGGATCCTTGTAGTGCTCCAGGAGGCTGCAGATGGTGTCTGAAGAATACACCCCTGGATCATGAGCATCAAAGCTGAATTTATGATTCCACTGCTCTATCCGTGCATGGAGAGTGCGTCCATACCTACAGAAACTAACAGAGAAGAGGAACTCTTCTTGGGCACTGTCACGCAAGAGAAATGTACCTTCTGGCTTGTCATCTAAAAGCATATCAGCCTCATATCGATCAATTTTACCCCAATAATAAGGAGCCTTCATGATGTTCCACTGATCAGGAACAAGACAATGCATGTAGTCAATCTGTGTGTGAACAGTCCGAGGTATGAAGGTTCCAGATGGAGTCAAAGATCCATAGAGGTCATAGATATCTTCTGTGGTATGCGTTGGAGCATCAACGACTTGATAATCAGAACTAGAACTCGCTGCAGCTGCACCAGCTTCAGGTAAATTGGATATTGGCATATCTGGCTCTGTTGTTCTTTGCATATGTGTGAGCACATCAGATACTGGTACTGTACCTGGAGAAACGGGTACAGGTACATCAATTCCCTCTATAGCGATTCCCTCCTCTATTTCTCTTTCCCTCACTGCTCTTTCGATTTCTTCTGTGCATTCGATGGGATACTTCTCAGGATCAAACTTAGCAAAATTAACAAGTGTTGATTGCCGCGATTTTCTACGCCTACTTGAAGATGAAGACCTTTTCTTTCCTTGTTTTTTATGTTTTGATTTGGGCTTTTCATTTCCTGAAGAAGATGGAGTTGCTGTCTGCACTGCTTCAGCCTTTGAACTTTCTGGGTTTGTATCCTCCTCCTTGTGCCCAAATCGTTTCATAACCCTGCTTGTTAATGACCTTGAGCGCCTCCTTGAGATTGGTTGTACATCTTCGCCAGCAGATTCATCACCACTTTTGTCATCAGCCTCCTTCCTCCTGTCTTTTCCTCTCATAGTTTTGCTTTCAAGCTTTAGTTTAGAGAAGATTTGACTGGCTGCTTTACTAAACCTCTTGAATTTTTGGGTGCTGTCATTTTTGTGCTTGATACCTGCATGTGATTTTCGTCTTGGTGACGCTCGTGGAGAGGTCTCTGATTCTGAGTCACTGCCTTGGAGATAATGTATTGTCTCATTACAACAGAGCAATTCAGAATCGGGTCTGAGCTGTCTTGAACTGGATGCATTCTCTTTGCCACTGGCCCCTGCTCTCGTCTGAACAAAGGCAGACTTCTTGTTCTTGGGTTTGACTACCGGGTTAACATCTTGTAGAACCGCCCTTTGTTTTGGTTCTAGCCAATGCACAGATGCCTGGGTGATGGTATTTATCTTCACACTCTTCCTGTCCACTGTATTGACCGTAATGCCGTTGCTCTCTGACCAAGATGATGCAGAAGTGCTTGTTGTGTTTGGAATGCCAGTCAATGATGAAAAGTCAGTAGCTTCACAGTGTAATTGCGGGGAGGAGGTGGACCGCCTTTTTGACAGTGCAAAAAGGACCGACGCTGACGAAGCAGATGCCATCTTTGCCACTTTGATACTACTTATTCTGCATAAAATAAGCTTATCATAGCCTTGTCATTCATGGACGTCAATCAAAGCTTGACTGTACATTACACTACTAACAAATGCAAAGCAGGCAGGTTCTCTGATTTCATCTCTCAGCAGCGGTGATCCTGGTGAGTATCGCGAGTCTAAAATGGAACACTGTGCTGTGCAAGTAGAGGCATTAGGCTTTAGAGAGGGTTAGTCCAGTCAGCTGACCCTATCTCCTAATTTCAAAAGGAGTGATGAAAGTGTGAAGCAGCATATTCCCCGAAATCAAATTTTTAATCAGCATCCACGAGTACGACCATGGTCCATGTTCAATGGAGTTAACAAATATGTCGGAACAATGCAGACAACGGATCGGCTCAGATTACAATCAACGATTCAGCCACTCCTATTCCATCAAAACTGCAAACAACCGTTTAGTTAACAACTCACAAATTCAGTCTGATCTCTTGACTACAGAGTTCAGATAAATATCACTGGAGTGGAGTCACTGCACTGAATTCCGTAGCACTGCAGCTGCACAGGCGCAGGCTACAGCTCGCTCGGATCGCGATCGGCCGAGCAGTCATGAGAATGAAAGAAAAATGAGACGGCAACTGTTCGTAGAATTGTGTCAATTTCTTTCTTTCACCATTGTCACCCACATCTGAACAAATCGAATGATCTTCTGTATCCGTTCACAAAATACCGGTGGCAAAATGTACGACAAAACGTAGAAAACTCATATCATATCGTCAACATTGGAGTCTCTGATGATGAACTTGTTCTAACATGCAATCGCAATGCAAACACAAAAAAGTGTGAATAGACCGGCCGTGCATGCATTAAACACGGCGCGCAAGAACGTACGATACCGTACCTACCTGTCGTAGGCGCTAGGCACTGCACAATACGTACAGAGTGTGTTCATATCTTCTCGTCTGGCCTATTTCGTCGCCGAAACGGAAGTAATGACGTCATCGAATTAATTGACCCATTTCCGCTCGAATGGCCGGGTGTGTTTTGTTCAGTCAACAATGGTGTATTCTTGTGAACAGCACGTATTTACGAATACCGTGAATATTTTGGTTTGTGTGAATTTCATTTATTTCTATGACGATTGAAAACAAATTGATAGGGCTTGATTTTTTACTCTTGCCGGTAGTAATCCAAGGGCCCGTCTTCCTCAACCTCAACCCCCCCTCCGACATTAGATGAAGAAATACCCGCCCCGGCCAGCCCCCCCCCCCCCCCCCCCCCCCCCGCTAAAAAAAAAAAAAAAAAATCAAGTCTCACTTGATCTAATCCCGATAAGAAAATCAACTGAGTACTTTTCTTTTTAGATCGAATCGTGCATACCGCTTTTTAATTCCCGTCCGCTTCCGCTTGAAAGCCGATATAGCTAGGTCCCCAAAGATATACCTAACAATTAATATCAAGATAAAAGAGAAAACATGTAGATAAGATCTGCCAGTAGTTTTTTCTCTTCACCGAATGTATGCTCTCCAGCGATGGATATAGGCTTTTTTATTTTGTGGCCTGGATCGATGAAGGAGAGGGGGAGGAAGGGGGGGGGGGGGGCTACAGTTTTTTTAATTTTTTTTTATAGAGAAACACAATGTTTAGATTTGTCCTTGAATTTATAATTTACCTGGGAATCCAAGATGCTGGCGCACTCCAGGCACCTCTGATTGATTGATTGATTTTTATTCGACAAGCTTCCAACATACAACAATATACAATAATAACAGATCAAAAAAAGTCAGCTTGAACAGGATAACCCACGAAAGCTCGAGAGCTTATTTCCAGTGGGGTCCCTTACAGACATGTATGAAATTAATAAGTTAAAATAGTAATATTTACAGACAGATAAGAAAATTAAAAGAACTACTTATTAAAGATAATAATAATAATAACAACATTAAACTGATGATAGAAATGATATTAAGTACAAGAAGAAAAAGAAGAAGGAGAAGAAGAAAAAGAGGAGAAGGAAGAAGAGGAAAATAATGATGAATTTGTAGAATTTCTATAACGTACGAAAACATAAGTATATACAACATGAAAAAGTATGAACCGACAGAAGAATAAAAATTTCAAAAAAAATATTTAAAAAATTTCAATTTCTGACCATCCTCTGACTCATTGCCAGGGACGGGGTTGTTCAGCTGGCCCCCCGCAAAGAGGGAGATCCATGACATTTCCCGCAGGAATCTCGCCGGCCTTCCACATGATTGTTTTGCCCCCCCCCCTTCTTAAACCTTTGCCTGCGCCTCAGATTCATCGACCCCCCCCCCCCCCCCCCGAACTTGGCCGCCAATAAATCTGAGGCGCAGGCAAAGATGCAGTGAATCGTCGTGCGCCCTCTGACATCGAAAGATTTAATAGTTAGATGGTTTAATTTGCTCGGTAATAACGATTATTGTTAAATTTGATGAAAAACAAGTAAACAGCATACTTCAACTTTCCTGGCATTTGATCTCTGCGTAATTATTGGACCTCTATTTTCACCATTTTGTCGTATCCATCATGGAGCCGGCATACGCCCCTCCACGCACCCTACCTGTTTGAAGTTACAGGTCAAAGAAACCAATGAAAGCTTACATAAACATAATCTTACATTTTTATATTGCACGCGGATAGCTCTACATCCCACTCCATTTACACCTACTCTTGAATCTTCGATCTCTATTCTTTTCAGAGATATAACAAAATCTGGATCCCAGCCATATATTTTGTTTGTTTAGTTGTTTTACTTTTGTCATTTAATTGTTCAGTGAATTTGGGATACGCTACTAAGTTGTGCAGCTGTTGTGACAAGGATGCTTCACTACCCCGCCCCCGCTCCCCACAAAAGGTATGCTTGCATTATGTTTTACCGCAGCGGATAAAAGGGATTTATCCCCTCCCCTATGATAAAAATCCGTAATTGAAGAAAAAAAAAACCTGTATATCTCTATAAAGTCCTTGTTCTTCCTACAGCGCTACAGTATTCATTGTTATTCAAAGAACTTTACTAAAACGGTCATTTATTCGGGTAACTAACTCATAAAGATCGTCACTTTTTTGAAACAATCATAAAGAAATATTTGTTTGCCAAGTTTGCACAGATGGCAACAGGTGTTTAAAATGCTATTATTTAAACCGGAGAGACTGAGAGAAAATATTTGAATTGATTTCCTGTATCAAGTTAACCCACGATACATAGCTTTGGTCGCAAGTGTGCCAATATGCTTGCCAAACTTGGCACAAAAATGATGTCAATTTAAAAAATAATCTTGTTTGTGTCTAGTTATCCAAGATGACAGGAAAATTGTCTTTTTGAAAGCTACATATTTACCACGCTAATAAAAACTTGTGTATTCTCTTTTTAAGATATTCAGGTACAGGCAGTTTTCAATTTTACTAAATCTGTTGTTTGCTACCGGGGTAGCCAGTGAAAGTCACAGGTGTTTTATAATTAGCTAAGCCTAAACTTCAATAGACCTGTTCACTTTTTGTTTTCATACATACTTTTTGAACAAAAGTTTCTCTCATCGACTAAAGCTTACTAGAGCTTGTCCGACATGGCAACAACTAGATAACGCAAAGTGAACTTTATCCATAGAGATGCCATTTGCATGGCACTGATAATAGGTGAATCAAGCTTAAATTTGGTAACAAAGAGTTTGGGAGAGAAACCTGCATAAATAGTACATTTTTACAGAGGCGGCGCTCCGGGAGGGGGGGGGGCAGTGCCCTTACTTTTCCAATACCCTCAAGTGCCCCTTTTTACATTGGACAAGTGCCCCTTTTCCTTTGTAAGAAATGTCCCTTCCACTTTTGTTAGTGCCCGTTTTCCTTTTTGATAAGTGCAACCCCATTTTTTTCATTAGATCCCCTTCACTTTTCACCTATGATAAACGTTAGGGACGGTCTGTCATGTTCTTTTGGCAGTGAGCTGACGTTTGTTTCCTGTTTCATTTATGTAATTTCGTTTTGCCTTCATGTTTTGTTTGCTTGTTTTTTTGTTTGTTCGTTTTGATGATGATCCTATATCATGTCATGTTTATAAATTATTTTTTTGAATTTGATTTTTGAATAATTTTTACTCACAATTATTGTTGTTTATGAATCTTAATGTTCACGAAACTGTCAAAATATGTTCACGCTTACAAAATTCTATATTTGGAAGGCATTTGGCCGAAGATGAAGATTACCACAACTGACGATGACGAGGAAAAGGATACCGAGAAATGCCATGTAAAATGTTAGCTATATAATTATGAAGATGTTGGGAATAGTCCTCATCTGTTGACCGTTTGTTAAGATGGAGGGCGGGGACGGGGTGTACAAGTTGAATAACAGTTGTCGTATATAGAAGGTGGCTGGAAGATTCGAGGACGCGAACCTCATAAAACCCTCACTGGAATTTGGTAATCTTTTAAATTCGTATTAACGATTATAGACTGTATTTGTGGTTTTCAATGTTTTATTGACTTGATATTCAGGCTCATAATGTATTTTCATTTTCAATACCGAGTTATTACTATATGATTAATAGATACACCGTTGCAAAAAGAATTACAGTCTCCACCGGAATTGTTTTTTTTTTTAATTAAAAAACCTCTGATAACTGCTCCTATATATCAAAATTTGATAAGTGCCCCATTTCCTTCGACAACTGCCCCTTTTCCTTTGGAATAAGTATCTCATTTCCATTCTCATAAGCGCCCTTTTTCATCTCTGGTAAGTGCTCCTTTTCAGGCACGAGAAATACCCCTTAACTTGTCTGAGAAGTGCCCCCCTCACCTCTGATAGTTCCCCCTATTCAAATCCGACAGGTACACGTTTAACTTTGACAAGCGCCCCCTTTCCTTTGTAATAATTGTCTCCTTCCCATCCTGATAAGAGCTCATTTTCTTCTTCGATTCTCATTAGTGCCCCTTTTCATCTCTGGTGAGTGCCTCTTTTCAGGTGCAAGAAATTCCCCTTTTCACCTCTGATTATTTTGCATCTTTTGTTTATACTTCGACTCGTGTCCCTTTTCCTTTTTTAGTAATTGCACCTTTTCCTTCCGATAAGTGTAATTTTCCCTTTGTAAGAAGAAACCCTTCCCTTTCCAATAAGTACCACTTTTTCCTTCGGATAAGTGCCCCTTAAACTTTTTTTGTATGAGCCCCTTTCCCTTTTCAAAATGCCCATTTTTACATCTGATAAATGCCCCTATTAAAATCTGATAGGTGCCCTTTTTCTTCAACAGATTCCATTTTCACAAGTGCCTTTTTTTTAATCTCTGTTGGGTGTCCCTTTTCAGGTGCATAAGTGCCCCATTCTCACTTCTGATTATTGCCCTTTTTACTTTCACACGTGCCCCTTTTCTTTTCTAATAACTGTCTCTTCCCTTCTCCATAACATGCACCCCTAAATCAAAGCGACTTAGAGCCATTTAAAAAAAAAATTCCCTACGCTCTATGTCAGTTATATTTGTTATGATTATGTTACTTACTAAAGAACTTTTCAGTCTTTCTTCATTAGATTATGTGTTTTTTGGTCCTAGACATACATGTATTTCATAATATGGTTGTGGAGGTCCAACTGCCCTGCTCTAAATAGCAAGTTCACTTCAGGGGTATATCCGGCCAACCCAGTGTCATGGTTTATGTTACTCTTCTAAGAAGTCATTTGTAATTTAACTCAGGTAGAGAGGTCAGGGGTATTGAGTTCTTCGTCACCACAATATATAACATCCTTTATTTCTTTGAAGGAGGAGGACGACTTTGGCAATTCTGTTTGTATTGTCTGCATTAGGATATGGAATTTTAAATGGCTAGGAACTAAGAATTAAGATTAATTTTTACTGAATACTTTATTTATTTTTCCCACCTCCATAAATAATTGAAGCTTAATCATGTTAATCTCCAGTATTTCTACCATTATATTTTCTAGG